ATAGTACGTCCCCATTTTATGCTAAGAGGTGGCCAGGATCGGATTAGCTTTTACACTCATGCAACCCTTGGTTGTGCAAGCGCACAGATGGAGGCATCTGAGACTTTATGCACAAGCACTTCACTGTCTCACAAGCCCCTGCCACCCCAGCCAAAAAGGCCACTTGGCCTTTTCTAGCAGATGCCACAGCAGGCGGCCACTCACTGCAAGAGGCTTCCCGATTTCTACCTTCCCTGAGAGCCTGTGTAAGTATACTAGCTGGAATGTTCACTCCGCTCACATTATACATATTTCTGGCCCATTTCCTCTCTTGCCCTGCTCTTTAGGGCCTGCACGACCAATTCTGCCACCCCACTTCATCTCAGAGGTTTTATATGCTTTCAAACATGAAAGGTCTGACTTCAGGAAACAGCACGACATAGAGAAGTCTTCAGTGTCTTCACTATCAGTCCTTCACTGAAATCTTCAAGCACACAAGAGTTCACCTTCTCTGAATAAACCAAAGATTTTCCTAATCTTTGAAGGGATGTTGCAAGCCTCAACTGTCTCTTCCTAACATGGCAAGCATTCTCTGCTATTCCTCCCACAAGGGGACTGGCACCGACCCCTCCTGGGTTTGCTTTTTAAAGAGGCAGCACAGAACCTGCAAAATGTGTTTGATCAAGAGGAACAACAGAATATACAGTTATGTGTCTACCAGAGGGGAGGGTCGAAGTTCTCTAAAAGATCATATGGGTGTTCAGAACATCAGGGGAGGCCCTTCTCTCCATCCTACCACCCTCACAGGAGTATTTAGTTGAGACACAGGAGAGGAGAGCCTTCTCTGTGGCTGCTCCCAGACTCTGGAACTCCCTCCCACAAGAGGCCAGACGGGCCCCATCTTTGCTGTCCTTCCGCAAGCAGACAAAGATATTTTCTTCAGGAAAGCTTTCCTTTAAATAAATGCTTGACCAAGGGGGCCTTTTTTTTCCAAAGGAATGTTTGTATTCTGTTGTTTTACTTGTGTTTTTAATATTGCTCTTTTTACAAATTGCAATACTGTATATTTATTTAATTTTAAAAAAATATTATAATAATTTATTAGCATTTGATTTTTTTTTCTTTTTAATACTATAAGCCATTTGGACCCCAAAGGTTTCCCACGGCAAAAGGGAAACGTGGAACCTGAAGGGATGGGGCAGGCAACTTTTAAGTGAAAAAAATATTACTGTCACAGGCTGATGACATCTTTCTAGTTGTGCCATATAAAATCAGGAGAACAGGATTTCAGCCAGTGTCACTTTGTTTCCAAATAAACCAAGCAAGACAGGTCTAAATTTCTGGTCAGTCTATTTTCAAAAGAGAGGAGAACCATTCTTACTCTCTCCTTCCTAATAACTGCACATGCCACTTAAACCTGTTTAGAACAGGGTTGGGCAAAGTATGGCCTTCCAGACAGTATTAGACTGTTCACTCCCAACATTCTTCACAATCAGATATGCTGGCTAAGGTTACCAAAATTGCATGCAGTTACGTTTGGTGGGCTGGGCTGGGCTCATTCTGTCTTGAAACGGTAGCTTAGCACAATAAATCACACTGGAGTAGGCACACTGAATCAATGGGGATGTGGTGAATCAACTCCTCTATAAGATACACTAAATAAAGTCATAACTAGAGTAAGCCTATTGAATCAATGGAAATGTGAGTTAACCTTTGATTCATTGGGCTTACTCCAAATGCAATTCTCTACGCTAAGCGACAGGATTTGGGCCATTGTTTGACTTTTAGTCATGCAATCCTGTTCGGCTGGACAAAAGATTTTACTGCCTGGAACAAAGGTCAAGAAGATGCTCTTTCTCCCTGATTTCGATGCTTAGAAACAGAGTGGACTAAACAATGGCAACAGAATGGCATCTAGAGCTCGCTGGAAAACCTATTTCATGGCAGTAGTGGCAGCGAAGAAGCTATTTGTCTCTGCCACCATGGAGTCTGCTCAGAGCTGTTCAGTGGAGCGCTTTCAGGTGGTCAAGGACCTGTTGCAAAGATCAGCACAAGAGAAAGATGCTGACCACTCAACCGCTCGTTGAGAAGATGCTGTGTCACGTTTTGCCGACAAAATTGCTCAGATCCACTCTGGCATAGATGTTTAGTTCACCCAAGTCTTGTTGATGTAACTTTGGCCCCTGCTTGTCCTTCAAAAACGTATGCATTTCAGTTTGTGCTGCCTGAAGATGAGCACAGGATATCTCAGGAGAGGTGAAAGCCACCACATGTGTCATGGACCCTTGCCCGTCCTGGTTTATAAAAGCAGTCAAAGCAGGGGGACTGGCTGAGTGGGTCAGGGGAGTGGTGAATGCCTCCTCGCAACAAGATAGGGAACCCAGAATGCCTAAAGGAGAAAGCATTAAGTCCTTTGTTTAAAAAAGCCCTCCTTGAATCCCACTGCACTGGATAATTATTGGCCAGTGTCCAATATTCCATTTTTGGGGAAAGTCTTTGACTGTGTTGTGGTGTCTCAGCTCCAGAGGTTCCTGGATGAAGCAGATTATCTAGATCAGTGTTTCCCAAACTTGGGTAACCAAGGTCTTTTTGGACTGCAACTCCCAAAAATCCTGGACAGCGCAGCTAGTGGTGAGGGCTTCTGACTATTTGAGTCCAAGAACGCTTAGGTTACCCAAGGTTGGGAACCACTGGTTTAGATCCCTTTCACCCTGGGAATACATATAAATAGGTATTGGGGGGATGTTATTCAGTATTTTCAGTCAGTGGATAGATGAATTAGTGAATACTGATTCTGCGGATAGGAGGGTCATCTTACTGTATGTAAATACAGTGGACCCTCTACTTAAGGAATTAATCCGTATTGGAATGGTGGCTGCAAGTCGAAAAGTCTGTAAGTCGAATCTCCATTGACCTACAATGCACTGAAAATCAATTAATCCCATAACCAGTGGTTTTTATTCTATTTTTATCCCATTTTGGTTTTTTTCTGGTCTGTAAGTCGATTCTCTGACTGCAAGTCGAATCTAAATTTTGCAGCCAGAGAAATCTGTAACTCGAAAAGTCTGTAAGTCGAGCCGTCTGTAAGTCGAGGGTCCACTGTAATATATACACCTGAAGGTATCAGGCCAGTTTGAGAGGACAGAAGGTAGACAGCCAGGTGACTCAGAAAGAGAAAGGTTTGCCACTGCTGCACCTCCAACATTTGGCTTAAAAGGCATCTGCCCCACATATCTGCCTAACAGAAGCAGCTTTGCATCTCAAACACGTTCCAATTACAACAAGGCTCAGTATGTTCAGTGGATTCCTAGGCTACGTATCTCTTTGCACACCGTCTCAAAACAGTTACACACTGCAATCCAATTTCCATTAAGTTAGGAATAAAAACCCACTTAATTCAGAGAGAGCTTGTTTCTAAATAGAAATGCATAACACAATGCTGTGTTAGTCCCTGGCTTACCACACTTCCAGCAAAAGGTGGATCGCTGGGTATAAAACTCTGAATCTGCATTCATCATGAATCCAGGAACAGGAGTTATTTCTGACAACAATCAGAGAGTACAAGTGAATGAGCATTTGTGGATAAGAAGGAGACAAGGCCACCTCCTGCTGAAACTGAAACCCAGGCAGCTTCTCCCTTCCAGCCCTGCTGCAGCCACCGGGCTCTCCTTATCACATGAAGTGGCTGATAGCATCAGGAAGCACAGAAAGCCCACAAACGCCATCGCTGAGTTAGATAAATCAATTGTCTGGGCTGATAACCTGCAGCTTCCTGGCTTCCTAGAACAGTCGTCCTCCTTTGCAAAATCATGCCCTTCAGATCATGGACAATTGCCATCTCTGCCAGCCAAAAGGCCAACGGTCATGCTGGCTGCAGAGATGGGGACACTTCAGGAAGGCACCAGCTCCTATGAAGGTTGTCCTAGAACCACCCTTCTTACTTTGCACAGTGTTATTTAGAAACAGCCAGCTTTGGCAGAACTATCACTGGACATAAAGGAGTCATACAATCTTTGACTGACTTGGGAGGGGCCTATAAGACCACTGAGTCCAACCCACTGCTTAACGCAGGAATTCCAAATCAAAGCAGATCTGACAGACGACTGCCCAATTTTCTCTTGATTGCCTACAGCGCTGGAGCACTCAGCACCTCCTGAGATAATTGGTTCCATTGTCATACTGCTCTAAGAGTTAAGAAGTTTTACTGTGATATTCAGCCTAAACCTGGCTTCCTGTAGTTTGAGCCCATTAAGAACCAGCTTCTTCCTCCTCTTCTCCCACCACACTTCCATCAAAAGCATGGATTTCCCAGCTCTCAATATTTTAACAAAAGTTACAACAGAAAGGTTCTACTGCATATGAGGAAAGATTTCAGGAAATGGAGAATGGATTTTTGGGTGGAAAGATTTCACAGACTCACTTTTGAACTAGCACTGACAATCATGTTCTGATGTGCACCTTGCTCTTTAATTCAGTTTTTTTAAAATCACCTCTGCCCACGAGCGGCTATTCTGTCCATTGCTAGGTCTCAAGTGTTCTTATAAAACAGATGTGGGCGGAGTGCAACCATCAGGGGCCCAAATGTAGCCCCAGGGCCCAAAGCTCCCCCTTTAAAATGTGTTGTTTTTTAAATCGGCTTCTGAAGGGTATAAAGGGGCTTTTCAACAAAACAGTCCCTGTCTTTGTAAGAAAACGAACATGGAGTGGGGTTGCAAAGCAGGGGTGGTCCCCAAGATCCAAGACCTCAGGAGATTCCTCATCTCTGCTGTAAAAGAGACACAAGGTAGATCCCCAAATCCTGAAGTCTGTCCACCCCAACACAGAAAGGTAAGTTAGTTTGCTCCTTTGTTTGCTAGAGACCACAACAGAATGCCTCATCCTGGAACATCCCGAGAGTTTTCCATATGGCACCCTTGATTCCTGAATTTGACCAGCTGACCCCCTTTTATTGTGAGGCAAAAGCTTCAAGCAGCTCAAGAAAATCTCCACCGACAGAACTGCATTGCATATTTCCCACTCACGCGAAAGTCCTGCAGCTCCGGAAGACTGTTGTAACTGCAAAGGAGGATGTTGTTGGTCATGCTGAAACTTTCGCGCACCCCCAGGTGATAGAAGAGCGAAGGCTGGCACAGACTGTTGCTCATCTCCACCACAACCACATCTGAAGGCAAGAGACAGACCATCAGACCCAGCTATGACCTAAGACCACCAGCTTACCTCACATTTTGTCCCCACCTGCCATGACCTTACGTTGTCTTACAGTCTCCATCTTGCCTGCAACTGCAAGCAGGCACAAGGTGCCAACCCAAGGCAATAAACACAAATTGCATCTGCAAGACCGGTCAGCCCTCACTGCTAAAGTAGAAAAGAGAGCATCATGGTCCCATCTGCCCACCTGGAAGGTGTCATTAAAAACCCCTTTCAGTTCTACTTCTGGGCCACCTTTTGACTCAAAAGGACCTTCAAAAGCTCTCCAAAGGATATGACTGACATTAAAACAAAAGAAAAAGTTACAAGCTGAGGCTCCAGTCCTTTGGCCATCTCATGAGAAGAGAAGACTCCCTGGAAAAAACCCTGATGTTGAGAAAGTGTGAAGGCAAGAGGAGAAGGGGACGACAGAGGACAAGATGGTTGGACAGTGTCACCGAAGCGACCAACATGAATTTGACCCAATTCTGGGAGGCAGTGGAAGACAGGAGGGCCTGGTGTGCTCTGATCCATGGGGTCACGAAGAGCTGGACACGACTTAATGACTAAACAACAACAACAAATGTTCTGAACTCAACCAAAAGCACTTCAAGTTGCCATAGTGATCCAGTGATAAAATAGCAAGCATGCTTTCCAGAACTTTTTGTCAGCCTGGCCGGTAAGCAAAACAAGAATGAACTAAAAGGGACATGAATGAAACCTCTGACGAGAAAAGTCTCAGAATCTGCCATTTGTGATACTCTTAATGTACAGTGTAGAAGGCACTACACAAAAGTAATTGGCACTCCTACACATATTTACCTAGGAGTGCATTCCTGCACTGGATGATGCAATGGGGCTTATTGAGCCAACGTGGGTAGGATTTTAGCACACTGTACTAAACTTCAGATTTCACTCCAAAGTTATTCTGTCACAGCTCCAAAGCTGCTGACCTGCCTCCCACAGAAGGTCAAACTATCCTTTCTTAGTCAGGCAAAGATTTTTCTCTTCAGGCAGGCTTTTTCTCAGTGACTGGCTATCTATGAGTTAGGCTGCTATTCTTTTCATTTTGTTTGCTCCCCCTTCCCCAATTATCTTCCAATTTTCATGTCATTTGTTTTAAATATTATAAGCTGTCTTGGGTCCCCTCAAGTAGAAAGGAGGAACATAAATGTTTAAATAAATAAATAAAGGTTGCTCAAATTATCTTAGTTGTTTGAGGCAGAAAACCTCACAGATAGCTAGCCTTGCTTGTAAAAACAAAAGAATAGTGCATTAAAGAACCATTTATTAGGATGAATTCCCAACATCTACTGACTCACTTCATCTTGTTTGTATCTTGTAAAATAGAGAGCATAAGTAAAGGAAAATATGGTGGTTCTCTTAGGCAGTTTACAAGGAATCAAGTGAAGGCGAACTGGCATTACTTAACTGGATGGAGAATGTGTAACTTATACAACAAGAAGATCTTAAGGTATCAGATCTTCCTCTCTAGAACTCAACTCCTGGGTCACTAAAGCTGCAATCCTATATGTGCTTACCAAGGAGTAAAGTCTATTGAATTGGAGGGGGGGGGATTAAAAAAGAGCATTTGGCTCATCCATCCCTAGGACTAACTAAGTGTTGCGGAGCCTTACAAACATAATAATAATGGGGAAAATGCTTCTCATGCTTCTGACATTTTTGTTCACCAGATAAGGTCATGTGAAACTCTGCCTAGCTCTGTTGCACTTCTCTGATGCTATCTGTAAACTTAAGAATGTGATACACAATGCGCCCAGAGATGTCCTACACTTTCCAGGATTTATTGCTCAGAAGGGAATCTGCTCACAAAGCACATTCTCTACTGTTCAGTGACAGCTTCCCCTTTTGTGGACCAGCATACACTTTCTTAGATGCACACTGTGTTATGATTCATTGGAAGATTATACACTGTGTGCATACATTAACATGCTGGTAACAACCAACCCTTTCCCTGCATAGCTTCTAAATCAGAAGTACAAGCTCTGGACTAGAGATGGGGGTATTTGTATATGAATATTCCCCCCACAGGTGGAGATAATGAGGGTCCTGGTCCACTCACTACTGTATTCCGCTTCTGTCACGACCGTCGTGGAGCCTTCCAATGACTCCAGAGATCTCCTTCAGCTTGCCACTCCTGGCAGGAGACAGGATGACAAGCCTCTCTGCTAGGTCAAAGAGTGGCTCGCTGAATGTTGCTGCAGGCTTCGTGCTCCCTTCTAATCACTCAGGTGCTCACAGTCGACTAGCCATTCCTGGCAGAAGGAGGGAAGACGAACCTCCCTGCTAGGCTGACAAGTGGCTAGTTGATCGCGAGTTCCCAAGCGACTGGAAGGCAGCACGGAGCCTGTAGCAGCAGCGGATGGCTAAGTGGATGGTCCAGCCCCAGGGGGCCGGACCCTCATTGAGTCCACCTGTGGGGGGGTATTCGTACACCCCCATCTCTACTCTGGACCGATGCCTAGATTCAGCAGAGATATGGATAAGGGCCAGCAAACTTGAGTTTGAAGCCGGGCTAAATGAAGGCTTTTGGGAGAGAGTGGTGCCTGATCTGGATAGGGCTGTATTCCTTCCGAAGAAACAGGGGTGTACACTGGGGTTGTTCATAGGCTCACCTTTCTGCCTTCAGCCGCCAGGAGCACCATTCATCAGCTTTGGCTCCTCCAAGCTACTGCGTTGGGAGAATCTGACTGCATCCTAACTGTAGCACTGGTTTAGTCCAACGCATGTTATTAGAGATGGGTATGAACCGCCAATTGGGCAGTTTGTGCCAGTTCGTTATTGACTGAACAGGTGTTTGGCCCTTCAAAGCCCCACTTCCTCTGGCAGGCAACCCACTGAAAGGCAGCACCCAGAGGAAGTGGGGTAGGGAAGCCAGGCCACACCGCCTCTGAGTGGGAGTCCACTGGAAGAAGCGGGGCTTCGAGGCGCTGAACACCTGTTCGGCCAATAAACAAACTGGCACAAGCCGCTTGTTATGTGCTCATCTCTACATGTTATGCAGAACGTCTCTTGTGCTTATTCCAAAAGCAGCAGCTGGTCCAGAATGTGGCCGTCGCTGTGGCATTCTGTCAGCAGCATGGGAAAACCTGGGCTTTTTTTTACCTATCAGTAAACTAGTGGGCCAAGTGTATTTTGTTATCAGTACACAAAGCTCTACATAGATTGGGATCATCAGACTTTCTATGTCCGATAGAACGCAGGAAGGTTACTTTTCTGGAGTGCAGTTCTCTGCATCCCCACTAGCTTACCCCACTTGGTGTGGTCCTCAAGAGAGGCACTCTTGATAGAGTTCCACAGTCAAAAGGTCTGCCTTGTGGCTACGAAAAACTGTGCTAATTCTGCAGAATTCTCTGCTTCTTAATACTAGACAGGCACTGATAATTTCATTTTTGTTTGTCCCATCACAGGGTTTCATGGTGTGGAATGTTCATAAGCGCTTTATCATTGCTTTCTTCTATGCAGTCCTAACAAGAGTTAGCTTGAGTTTCACTATCACTGGAAAAGATCCCCCACCAGGGTCACTTTCCACTTGCGCTGTTGCCCAGGATTTTTCAGGAGTTTCCCTGCCCCACTGAAACGATCAGTTCTCTTTTGCTGACATGATCCTTAATCCTGAAGAGGGGGCAGGCACCTTACTCTGGTGTGTCAGTTTTGACCATACCATTTGGGCAACCCTGCCGGGAGTCCAGATTTGTAATCAGGTCTAGCCTCCTGACTGCATTGCCCTCGGCTTCCCTAATATACTTTAAAACCCTCCTTGATTTTGTTCAATTGTTGATCCAAATGGAGACTGCAGACAGAAAATCTGAAGCAGACTGAAACCTGGAAGGGAAGTTATGAAAGAAGTACCGTCGTAACTATAACGATGTCCAATTCTGACTTAGGGCAACCCTTTTCAAAGTTTTCCAGGCAGAGAATACTCAAAAGTAGTTAGCATTCCCTTCTCCCAGGGGCACTTTGGGACTGTACAGCTTTCCCAAGACCACACAGGCTGCCTCTACGGGGAATTGAACTCCCAAACTCTGTCTCCAGACTCATATCCCTAAAGCACTGAGCTATCCAGCCAGACCGTACTTAATGGTAGGGTTACCATAAGCTAATTATTATTGCCATTTAACTGACTTGATTACACATAAGAGAATGTGCTAGTTTTGAGTCTTAGGTGGCTGTTCAGGACATATTTTCACTCTCATGTTCTCTCCGTGCAGGGATCCAGGTACATGCACAGGTTTTATGGATGGCTTTCTATTTCTCACTTTCCTTCACTTCTGGATGGCTTCTCACAGGATCTATGCCTTTGTGGCCGCCCAAGCGTGTCTCCAACGCCAGGGTCAGTTGTTTTCCTCTGTCGTGGGAACTGGTCAGAGAGAAAAACCTTCGTCTCCATGAAGTTAGTAGAAGAAAAGAGAGGAGCACATCCTAGCTCCGTGCCTTCGCTAAGGGCTTGTTCATTTCCGGGGATTTTGATAGCTATGTATGTGACTCTCCCAATTCAACAAGTTTTCACACGAAGATGCAGCCACGGGAGGGCCACCTGCTCGGAGTGGGTTGGCACCTGTGTGCGTGCGTGCCAATCGCCACCTTTGGCAAACGCCAGCACCGACAACTTCGGAGGCCTCCCCCCCTCCCGCCCCAGACAGCCGCGTCCGGGGAAAAAGTTCCTGCCCGGGGGTTCTCACCACCGCTCACCCGCGTTATAGAACCGGTCCAAGGTCTCGGTGTCTCCGAGCATCACCGTCCCGAAGGGCAGGGTCGTCAGCTCGGCGGCGCGCCCCTCCTCGTGGCAGGCTTCCCGCAGGCACCGCAGGGGCAGCGGCTCCTCCACGTCCTCGGTGAAGACATAGACGACGCTCAGCGGGC